ACTCCCGGCCAATCCAAAATTGCTTGAGCTCCGCCGGGCCGGGATCGCCGCGTCGTTTCGCGTTCTGGTAATAGCGGCCTCGGCATTTTTACCCAACCTAACCTCAATCTGGTGATTGGTCGTCGGTCGATGTGAATTGCTCCTGTGCTTCGTGTCGACTCCTAGTCACACATTTCAAATGACTTTTTGATTCCGACCGGGTTTTCCAGAAAAACACTCGGGCACGTCCCGTAGGTATTTCAAGAGGGGAAAAAATATTGGCTCAGTGTTGTCGGGTCGAACAGCTTGTAGAAAATGACGAGTGAGTCAGCAGGCAAAAAATTCAGCTGATGTCAGTTGGATCTCAACTTATATGTACTATACTGATGTCGGTTGCATTATTATTACTAATAATCAGTTGAGTCTCGACTGATGTTAGTAAAATGCCTAAAAATATCAGGAGACTCAGCTATCCGATACATATCGGTAGGCTTTTTACATACAAAACGTGCCAAAGCTGGATTCTGAGGCCAGACAAACTTGATACCTAAGCCTTTCTCCGCTAGTGAAATTTTTACACACCAACGATTTTTTTTTTTTTTTTTTTTTTTTTTTTTTTTTTTTNTTTTTTTTTTTTTTTTTTTTTTTTTTTTTTTTTTTTTTTTTTTTTAACCAATTTCAAATAGCCTATCGACTCCCGCGCTTAATACCCCAGCCCCAGGTGACCATTGCCTGAGACCATCAAACTCAGATCACCTGGCCGGGAATCGAACCCGGGACCTTTTGGTCTTTGGGCCAGCACTAAAATCACTACACCACAGGAGGCCGCCTAATGCAATTATGATATACTATAATTACTATTATTTGCAAATACTATTGCAATTTTCCGCGTGTCACTTTCGCCATAGCCCCCATTTATCCTTTTGTGTTTTTCTCTAAAATCTAAAATTCCGGATCAGAAAACTGGCAAATAGGCATCGATAAATCGCCGAGCCATTTTTTTCTGAGGATCGGGATGGCTCGTCGTATCTTAACGTGATGGCGCGTCGCGTCGGTCGTGTCGCATCAAGCCATCATGTCCTCGAAAAATGAGTTGAGTTGTCAAACCCTGATCACAGCAAATCTGTTAGAAAGGTGTTTTTTTGGGTTAGCGAGGGAATTTCGGCAAGTGGCACAGCGGGTCAAAAGTTGACTCTTAATAGCTTTTTCTCTCTCTCTTGTTTCAGGCAGTAATATAGTTTTTCACTCAGAGCATAGAACCGATCAATATTATGAACAAAACAAACGTAGTGTTAGTTTGACCGAGCAAATTGTATCACTTGCCAGGAAACACACGCTTTACGCCATTTATTGTACCTCTGTTCAGTTTCAAAATCGGTGTACTCGCAGCTAATAATTGGACCTAGATATCGGGGCGCTCTTCAACTTGTTTGCGTTTAAACTGCTTGTTTACCTAATTACATTTATTCTTGCATTTTTTTTCTTCCATTATTTTTATTTTCTCATTTGATCATAATTTGAAGGGGTATAACCAAAGTTCATAATCTGTACGTCATAGACGCAAAAATACGAAAGCGAGCTGATAATAGCATTAGTTGTCAGTTTATTTTGGCGCTTGTTCAACTCTTTGGGCCCGTTTACTTCTAGGGCTATAGATTTTGGATCCGGTTTTGTTCGTTCAAAGGGTTCCTATTCGTACTTCTTTTCCCCTTTTTCAACGAAAGCATACATGTAGACTTGAATGAAACATTAAAATAATATTTGTCATCATATCTCGGAAAATATCGGCAGACCTTTGAGTTTTTACATTGGTTTACCCACTTAAAATAGGCAGTGAGAAACTCGCAACGTCGCCAAATAAGGTAAAGGTATGCCCCACTGTTGGTGATGAGAAACGTGTCTGATCACGCGTTAGAAGTCAAAGCGATACTGTTGCAGGCGCTCTGAGCAACTATTCCACCACAGAAGTGTTGCACAGTATCAGACGAAAATGAAGGCGCGCCAACGCACGCAAATTGACTGGTATTGCTCACCACTGTGTAGAGTCCTACTGAGCCTATGAACTGAGGCTTGCCGGTCGATATTTGTGAAACTTGGTTCCAGGTGGCTTTTTTTGACGAGATCATCGAATTCAACTCAAATTTTCGAAATTAAAAAATCCACAATAGCGGAAGTCACGTAAAATGCTATTTCGGCGCATTCAAAAGTATCCACTTTTGCAATCGAGGTATGAGGAAACATACACAATCAGCGGAGGATCCAGAGTGAGTTAGAGGGGATGGGGGACCATTTGTTGATGTCGCGAGGAGGGTCTGGGAGCGAGGGGGGTGGTGGGTCTTTTCCGGAAAATTTTCAAAAACATAGCCCCTCCCGGTTTGAATTTTAAGCAGTTTTAGCATACAATTTGTACATTATTTGAAAGTTGAACTGGAATAATACCGTCTTTTAGAGTAATTTTATTTTGGTATATGTCCTGTTTATTTCTGCGATATTAAATAACCTTTGGTTTAATAAAATTGGTTAAACAATTCTGAAGTTCTGTCTTGACACCAATTTAGTAAATTTTTAGGAGCACTTTTTTTCTATCCCTCTTTTTGCCTCTTTCCTACTTTTTTCCTTCTTTTTCTCCCCTGTTTCCCCTTTATTTTGGCCCTAGCCCCCCCCCTCTCTCATGGATCTATGCCTTTGTACACAATACTCTAAGTAAAGGGTGAACTAGATTCATTATCAACAAGCATCTACTCAATGTAGCCACAAAGTGTCATCTACGCAACGTGAATCAACAAAAGACACTTAGTCGGTCGAGATGAAATCTCGATTTTTTATCGTAGCATATACTGGGTGATATTTTGCCTGACTCTTAAAATGAGGGTGCGTACCTCGTTAAAACATGTAATCTTAGTTGTTCCAAACTTTTATCGCTAAGTTTAGCCTCCCCTAAGACGACATGACCCTTGAGCATACCCTTATGTAAAGTTAATGGCCTCTCGGTCACCATTCATCAATGAAATATTAACTGCAAATCGTTGAATTCTGTCTATTTCTTTAGTTAATCAGTTAACTATTTGTTATCACTTCGCACTATGAAGGCGAAGAAGGAAACCAGATATCACCTCTTTACTCCGAATTTCTCTCGCAAATTTAGCTTTTGCTGCTCTACCTCTTGCAGAAGTTGAGTTCCTCTGCCATTGGTCATTAGTGAAAAAATAAAGCCTCCAGCACTTACTTTTCCGAGTAAATAGGCTGCGCCTCGTGGAATGTTCTCTTGCCTACCTCTCAAAATGAAGGAGCAGCAGCTGTTACCTCTACTCTACACTCCCAAAATTAACTTACTAATGCAGTTTTCCCCCTTTAAAATAGTATTCAAGTTCTACCACTGGCGGATTGGGAATGCAAGACCAGATACCCAACGTGTAACGGCAACGTGCAAGCCGTGTTAGGCTGTGTTACTCACGTAGTGCTTGAAGCACCATTACGAATGAGACAAACGCAAACAAACACAACAACATGGAACTAAAGCGAGGGAAAGGATGCGCGTTCACGACGGCGCAGAGATACAACTATTCGTACTTGATGGACGTTCGTGCTGCATCTGAAAAATTGAAGGCGCGATGCCGCGAAGCGTGAGCTCTCAATGCTCTGCTATATGCTGTCAATGAGGTGTCGCTCAGATTCGGGAGAAAAGTTAAAAAAGTGGCCCGAATACGTCTTTCCTGTCTCCGGCTGTGTTGATACCTCCTCGTTCTTTCTGATTTCTTCAGGATTTTGTCTGCTTCTTTTTTAGGATGGATTTGCAGACCCACGTCTTAAGCTCGTGTAAACTGTAGCACTGATTCGGTTCTTTTGGAAATAATGGTGCTGCGTTTAGTGGCGTTATTTATGTTTTCTTTAATTTCAGAAGTCTGTCGGTTACTTCAATACGTTTAATTTTGCAATTTTTACTCTGTATGATTAATAAACTTTGAACCTGGAAATAGCGTAAACTTATGCTGCTTTGCCAAAATTTTCTGAACCTCTCTCAACGTAGGGGATGCCCTACCAGGAAATATCACATTCCGCCGCTTTAACCAGCCAAGGGTCTACGCCCTTAGATGCGAAACAGTCCGACCCTGGTTAGGCGTCCCCCAAATCTGTGTACAGCACCACAACGCAAAATCTATTCGTTCAATTTTTTTTCAGTGCATTAGTAGAAGGGTAGTGTCTCTCTGCCGTGCTAAGGTAGAACGCCGTATGAACATTCGAGAGCATGCCTAATTCCCTCCGCAATAAATGTTTCTTTTTGGGGAAAGTTATGAACATTTTTCCTTTAAATTTTCAAAATCTTAAGGTGAAATTGCGAACGAAGTTATCCGAGAAAATGGAAGGAAAATATTCATAAGTTTACCAGGAAATTCGTGTTTTATCAAAGGAAATTTGGACGTATTTATGCTGAAAGGAACTATGTGGAAGTGGAAAGCTGGGGTGTGCTCGTGGAAGCTGGATAAGAAAAAGTGTAAAAGTGGATACAGTTCCTTTTGAGAAAATGGAAAAACACGATTTTCAGTTAAAACAACTGGAACTGAGCGCTAACTAGTGAGCCATGGGCATGTGACAAAAGCGTTGTGGACAGGGCTCATGCGTTAAAGACGAGCGAGCAAGAAAACGGAGACGGCTTCGTTGCCGCTGACGTCACTGGAACTTTTAAATTTCCATTCATTCTTATGGCCCTTAACTAACGAGCACACCCCATCTTTCCGCTTCCGCATAGTTCTGTTTAGCGTAAATACGTCCAGTTGGCGACTTCTGAAGGTTCATATGCTGTTTTTCCTTTGCACGGGAGCTTTGATGGATGCTATGTTACAACCCCTGTTGGAGGGTAAGAGTTCCCGATGGGATGGACGAGTGATGAATGAAGAGTAAAGAGTGAATCAAAACAAGACGAGAGTGGTACCGGTACCGTTGCGGGGACGCGGGCGCGGGTACCACGAGGACGAGGCCGAGCCGGACTGGTCCGGGGCTGAGGGGCTGAGCCCGGGTCGATGACTCGCCGGAGACTCGAGCCGCTCACTGCCACTCGAACCTCGGGACCGGACCGGCCGCGCCGCGACATAACCTCCACGCGCCGCGAGTGCTCGCGCCAACGCCGAAATGCACCCCCGCCAAGTTTGACAAGTGACACGCACCCTGCCCCCTTCCCCCAAGTGATTGTGTAGCCAGTGGAGTTAAAGTGCTAACCATGGTTTGTGTACCGCTCCCCAGCCTGTCTGTTATCAAGGTAAGCCGTCCGCCGCTATTTTCAGTAAACGCGTATCTCCACACGGAAAAAAAAAATTGAGTAGCATTTATCATATTCTGGTTCATCAACGGCACAACCAGAGAGTATGGTAACCTTCATGAAAATTATCACGATTGTAACGAGATTTTTCCTTATTATGACAATAATTTTGGTGGAAGTTACCGAACTGTCTGGCTGTGTCGTTTTTTAACCCGAGTATGGTAAATGCTACCCAGTTTTTTTTTCCGTGCACACTGAAAAAAAGTATGGTAACATTTACCATGAGTCTACTTAATTTTTTTTACACAGTGATGCTATTTAGTGAAAATAACCAGGATTATGGTAGTATTCACCAGAACTCTGGTGATACGTACTGACCATGATATCACAAATGCTTCCATAGAGTCTGGTGTTTTTTACCATACCAGTATCACTGTGTCAGAGTATGGTAGAAGCCACCATATTTTTTCAGTGCATTGTAGCGTTTACAAGCTTTTGCTCTGATTTTACTTTATTTTTTTTTTAAAGGGAACGAATTCATAGTGTGCTATGAAATTTGCATTATTTTTATTTATTTTTGTGTGAAAATGTAATATCTGTATAAATTTTCTATTCCTCTTGGGAAAAAGCGTGAGGGGCGCTCACCGGGAGGGTAGAGGGATGGAATTTAGCTTAAAATGCCAAAGTTAGAGATTCCTTAAAAGTTATGGTTTGATAGGAAGCAGAGGCGGTTAGGAGTCGTAGAGCGACAGGGAACGCTGTGGAGCGGCCAACGTACATTTGTACATGTGAAATTTTCAGCAAATATTTTTACACAGCCGAAGAAAAAGTATGCAAATATTCATCAGCTAAAAACAAGCCACTTTCCGACATTAAAATGAACGCAATATGGAGAATTTGCAGCTTTGAAAACCGAGTTATGTGTTTTTCGAGTTTCACCAACGATAGAGATCGACGGTGAAACTAGAGAAGAAGGAAGAATAAAGTTGCAGGATTCGCGGTTGATCGGATTTCTAGTTATCAAAACTTTAAAAAAAAGGTCTCTTTTAACGGAGGAAATCATCACGCAAAATTTGGATCATCCTCGATGAAAAATATAACGCGGCGAACACGTGAACTAATGAAGAAAGTACAAATAAAACTGAATAAATTAATTAGGAGCGCGATCCGTCTCAGCTTTCAAAAAACGGTCTTAAAGTTGTCCATCTGAGTGTGGAATACCAACTCCACTGTAATACATTATCATTTACCGAGGTCTCTCGCAGAGAATGATCGTACACCTGAGCTGATATTTGTCTTTGTCTACCCGGATGATGTCCATCCTTTAGGGCCGGAAACGCTCCCGTTGCGAGAATTCTGGGATTACCCTAAGTTGAAATTAGTGTCGCGCAATACTTTTCGATGAGACTTTTGCAACGGGGATTTTGACACAGATTTCACGAGATTGAAGGAAGTTATAGATGATACAAGAATGTGAAGAGAATGATAGTGGCTCTGAAAAGTAGATTTAGTACCTACTGCAGCAGTCCCGTTGCTTTTGACAGCTTATCATTGTAATACTGCCGTGCTAAGGGAAAATGCCGAATGAGCCTTCAGGCGTTGCCAAATTTCCTCTGGCAAATCACTAATTTTCAGACAAATTTTTGGATATTTTTCTGCCAATTTCGCAGATAATTTTGTTTATAATTTTATCTAAAGTGCTTGAAAATTTCAAGAAAAAAAAACATTCATAAGTTTCTTCTAAAATGAACATTTTATACGAGAAAATTTGGCAACACACGAATGTTCATACGGCGTTTTTCTTTAGCACGGCAAAACAGGTCATTATCGGCTCAGCATACGGATTGAAAACTTTCACAGAAGCCTTATGAAGAACTTCCTCTTTTTTATAGTCCAACATGCGATTATCTCTCGCTTAAGTAAATGCGATGAATTTGTTAAAGATTGAATATACTTACCGCATTTGCATTAATTTCAGGTAATTAGTAGTACTTACGACACAAAAAGTACAAAGAACGCGTGCTCGTACGTGAGTTTTCAAACCTTTAGACTGAATTTGGAATACGAGAGGTAGAATCCCACATTCTACATTTCGCTAAAATTCAGGAAGAGCACATGATTACTCGAATAATTTTGGGAGTGGTAGCAGGTAGCTCCTACTATAGGTACCTACTTTTGAAAAGAAAAAAAACTCCAGAAAATAAGTCTCATTTTGACCTATAGACCACGCTCCCTGGGACACCCTGTATTTCAATTCGTTCTTCAAGATATCGAAGCCCTCGGTTCGTTATCTCAGCAAAGATCTTTGACCCGAGAGGGTAATTGGATTTTGCGGTTAAAAATGCGTAAATCATCGGACGAGTATGGCTCGGCGTAATCTAGTGTAGCTTAGCCTTAACCAGGTACATCGCTTGTCTGCCTGGTCTCGTGAAATATCGGGTCGTGCCCAGAAATTAAGACGGTGAGCACCAACAAAACCAGCATCTGGGTTAGATTACTGATCTAAAAGTAATCCTAAACAACTTGGGGCACCGTGGTCTTATGGTGAACCGGCTGTTAGTTGTTACCACTTAGCACGAGCCCCCTCCTATCCTGTGACGGTTAACGGTTAACGCGACTGTCTCAGTTTCCATAGGAACGTAACTCCAACGGATTGATTTCTAAGGATGCGACCCGTCCATCGCGCAAGAGCTGATTTTGACTAATAAGCGAAATGAAGGCGAACTGTGCTTTTTGACGCTGAGGCGGGTAAAATGTCTTCATTTGTTCGATGAGGAAAAAACTGACCCCCGGGAGTCATCAGGGTTAACACTGGTAAAAAAAACCTCTTGTTTCAAGAGTGCAGTTTCTTGTCGCCGGATTTAAGAGTCTGGACTCTTGTTTCAATGTAAAATCCACTTGAATCAATGTAAAATCCTCTTGAATCAATGCAAAATCCGCTTGAATCAATGCAAAATCCGCCTGAAACAAGAGTTCAAGACTCTTAAATCCGGCGACAAGAAACTGCACTCTTAAGTCAATGCACTGCGGCATTGTTCCAAGAGGTTTTTTTTACCAGTGAATTGCACTGCAACTTTCCAAAGTCTCGCCTAAACGTTTATTTATTTATTCTAGAATGATGGCAATTCTTCCTCGCTATTTTCCAATAGAAATTCTTTATGTTTTGACGGGAACTTCACTTTTTTATCATAAAACACGCTCTCTTTGACGAATAAAGGAATAACATGTCAAGTGTAATTCTTTGCCATGTTGCGGAACAGTGTAGTCTTTCTGGCTCTGATCACCTCCATCTGATTTTGCTCTTAATCTGAGGGTGTTTTCTCTTCATTATGAGTCATCGTGCTCTCTCGCTGAAAAAATAACATGCTATACCAGTATGGAGGATGTCAAACATGTGTGTGATAGTCCATAGATACTGGCTCGACTACCATCGCAGTTAAGTTTGCATCCCCTGAATGTAAATCTAACTGCGAGCTTGCAGCCAGGGACCCTCATTATCGAGATCCAAGATGGCATCCCAGCTTTTTTAAAATTTTATTTTACATTTTTGTGAAGTACCCTTACAGATCGTATTCGTTGCGGTTCGATGTATCGTTTGGTTAAAACAATAGAATAAAATCTCAAACAAGAACTTCAGGATTTATGTAAGAAAAGCGAATACTGAGAAAATTTCATTTTCCATGCCATTCTATACTCATAAGAATCAAAAATATATCACAAGAAACCCGTCCCCTCAGATTACTCAATTGACTTTTGAGGCTATATTTACATGCTGGACTAATCGATATCGATACAATCTCACCTGTTTGATATATCGAATACGATCCATTGCCAAAACATTGCTCAAAGTGCGATAAATTAATGTTTACCGCGCTACCAACGGTGAGACGACATCACGTGAAGCCGTGAGAAAATCCGAGAGCTGCGGGCGCTGCAAGAGGCTCGACCGGGCAGCCTGGACGTGTCCGAATAACTGTAATTATTCTCACAGTCACACGTGAGGCGTGTGAGCCTGGCGGCAACCGACATTGACATTCAAGAATTCGTGTTTTTTGACGTAACGCCCGACCGGAGACTGGAGCGCCTCGCAGGTGAACACGGGGAACATCTAAACCGGTGCCCCGTAACCTGAAGACGCGGACACAGCCACTGAAACATAAAACGATGAGCACATCCTACATTGGTGAACGGTGGATCCTGTCGCAAAACACGCCCAAACCATTGAAATTCTTCGGTGATAAATTCAGATAGAAGTTCGTCCAAGTGTTGGTATCCAGGTACAACGGGATTCTCTTCGATTATGTAATTGCTCAATTCCACACGAAAAAGGTGAGAGAGACAAAATATCTCGGAGAACCTAAAGAACACAGTTGACTAAAGTCTTGATTAGCAAGCTGAACATGCGGCTCTGACCTATCCCAGCAGTCGTTAGATTGACTTTTTCATATTTTGTACGACTTGTATCGTTACATTCGTATGAACTGAACTCGGATGTTACGCCAAAAGATCTAATTGATTTGATTCCTGAAAATTGCGTGATGCGTTCCCAATTTCAAGAAGCCCTTCAACGCACCACTGAAACCCTCTTGCAACTCCCATTCGAATGGCGTTAACATGCAGTATGGCACTATGGCACTTATGCATAGCACTCATTAAAATTTTGCATTGCACTGCCATGCTAAGGAAAAACACCGTATGAACATTCGAGAGTTGCCAAATTTTGCTCGAGAAAATTTTTATTTTTGAAGAAAGCTATGAATATTTTTCCTCAGAAACTTAATGTGAAATTGCGAACAAAGTTATCTGAAATATTGAAAGAAAAATGTTTACATATTTTCCCAAACATTCGCGATTTACCAAAAGAAATTCGGCAACGCCCAAAGGTTCATACGGCGTTTTTCCTTAGCACGGCGGTATATCCATCGCTCTTTCCGACGATTTCCCAGGCAAAGAAGGCAACATGGCAAGGGGACGATATATTGGGCGCTGACGATTTTAGG